TTATCAGTAATTGCTAAAATTAAAACAATAGTCACAAATTATTGCATATTTTTTAAAATACATTGCTCAAATATATTCTCATCCCAGCACTCTGCATGTATTTCATCATAACTTGCCTTGGATAACAAAGAAAGAACTTTCTGTTGTATTATACTCTGTTTAACACTTAAAGATTTCTATCAACTATTCCTGCGGCCGTAGCGTCTCCTGCTCCAGCAGGCGGCGGGGCGGTTGCCGCTCAATATGATGTACTGGAACACTTCCTAACAATTTATCCTAAATTTGTATGTCCATATTAAAGAATGGAGAATTTTTTTTAGCTGCATCTCTTATGAATCCATTCCTGCCTTATGTGATTGCATTTCAAATCCGTAAATTGAAACATGTATAATGTCTGATGTAGAAGATTGAAACCCACATGAACTATATGTGCTTCACTCTATAATTTGGACCCCATGATATATGCATGACCCTGTGTCATGTGTGGCAGTGAATACGACCAGCACCTCACTGTAAAAAACCTAATTGAATTACTCCGATTACGTACCAGTGAATACAAATTTTGTCAATGAAAATAATAATAATGATAATGTCTTTGGGAACTATTTTCTTTAACATGAACCACAAAGGTCCTGTTCACCTGAGGTCTCGAAGCTCTGACAGCTCCTCAAAAAGTTTGATTTTCATGTTTTTCCTTGAAAATTTGGCAGTATATTCAGAGATGCGCTGGAGGAGCTTTATCGACCATTATTGAGCTTCTTATCGATGACAACCATGAGTTTAGATCATATATTCTGCTATTCTTTACAATTCATCTGTTCCTGATTTGTAACAAGGCTGAGAGCAGCGCCTCACAGCCACCAGCATCACAACTACAAGGCTGAGAGCAGCGCCTCACAGCCACCAGCAGCACAACTACCTCATTGTTCAAAGAAAAGCGCCACATTTCCTCAGTAAAAATATATCGCTAATCTCTGCCAAAAAAATTAAATAACATTTATATTTCTACAAAACACGGCCCAGTTGTTATTGTCATATTTTGTTGGCGAATTATTAATTAAAGTTTGTTTTCAAGTTACCACTACAGTAGAGGCTTTGTCCATGGTTCACTACAGTAGAGGCCTCGTCCATGGTTCACTACAGTGGAGGCTTCGTATATGGTTCACTACAGTAGAGGCTTTGTCCATGGTTCACTACAGTAGAGGGCCTCGTCCATGGTTCACTACAGTAGAGGCCTCGTCCATGGTTCACTACAGTAGAGGCTTCGTCCATGGTTCACTACAGTAGAGGGCCTCGTCCATGGTTCACTACAGTTGAGGCTTCGTCCATGGTTCACTACAGTAGAGGGCCTCGTCCATGGTTCACTACAGTAGAGGGCCTCGTCCATGGTTCACTACAGTAGAGGCCTCGTCCATGGTTCACTACAGTAGAGGCTTTGTCCATGGTTCACTACAGTAGAGGGCCTCGTCCATGGTTCACTACAGTAGAGGCCTCGTCCATGGTTCACTACAGTTGAGGCCTCGTCCATGGTTCACTACAGTAGAGGGCCTCGTCCATGGTTCACTACAGTAGAGGGCCTCGTCCATGGTTCACTACAGTAGAGACCTCGTCCATGGTTCACTACAGTAGAGGCTTCGTCCATGGTTCACTACAGTAGAGGCCTCGTCCATGGTTCACTACAGTGGAGGCTTCGTATATGGTTCACTACAGTAGAGGCTTTGTCCATGGTTCACTACAGTAGAGGCTTCGTCCATGGTTCACTACAGTAGAGGCTTCGTCCATGGTTCACTACAGTAGAGGCCTCGTCCATGGTTCACTACAGTGGAGGCTTCGTATATGGTTCACTACAGTAGAGGCTTTGTCCATGGTTCACTACAGTAGAGGGCCTCGTCCATGGTTCACTACAGTAGAGGCCTCGTCCATGGTTCACTACAGTTGAGGCTTCGTCCATGGTTCACTACAGTAGAGGGCCTCGTCCATGGTTCACTACAGTAGAGGCCTCGTCCATGGTTCACTACAGTAGAGGCTTTATCCATGGTTCACTACAGTAGAGGGCCTCGTCCATGGTTCACTACAGTTGAGGCTTCGTCCATGGTTCACTACAGTAGAGGGCCTCGTCCATGGTTCACTACAGTAGAGGGCCTCGTCCATGGTTCACTACAGTAGAGGCCTCGTCCATGGTTCACTACAGTAGAGGCTTTGTCCATGGTTCACTACAGTAGAGGGCCTCGTCCATGGTTCACTACAGTAGAGGCTTTGTCCATGGTTCACTACAGTAGAGGGCCTCGTCCATGGTTCACTACAGTTGAGGCTTCGTCCATGGTTCACTACAGTAGAGGGCCTCGTCCATGGTTCACTACAGTAGAGGCCTCGTCCATGGTTCACTACAGTAGAGGCCCCGTCCATGGTTCACTACAGTAGAGGCCTCGTCCATGGTTCACTACAGTAGAGGGCCTCGTCCATGGTTCACTACAGTAGAGGCCTCGTCCATGGTTCACTACAGTTGAGGCTTCGTCCATGGTTCACTACAGTAGAGGGCCTCGTCCATGGTTCACTACAGTAGAGGGCCTCGTCCATGGTTCACTACAGTAGAGGGCCTCGTCCATGGTTCACTACAGTAGAGGGCCTCGTCCATGGTTCACTACAGTAGAGGGCCTCGTCCATGGTTCACTACAGTAGAGGGCCTCGTCCATGGTTCACTACAGTAGAGGGCCTCGTCCATGGTTCACTACAGTAGAGGGCCTCGTCCATGGCCTCTGCTCTGGGAACCTGACTTACCTAGCGTCAGTCAGGTCTGAAGGAATGCTCTTCATCCACTTCCTAATAAAATAACTGTTCTAGCTGTCTATTTGTTTACGACTTCTACCACGGTCGAAATAGTACACTAGTCTCGTACATTTATATGAGAGCCACTATAGATTGGTCGTTCAATTAAGACGAGCATTGCGGGAGAGAAAAAGTACGAGCAATTCGTATTAAGAAAAATATCAAGTTAGTTTATAAAGATTATTTTTTAATGTCGATATTCTGTCAATTATTCACTATTCAATTATGTGTGCGTCATATGCTGAATGTACACTTGTAATGTTTTTGCTAAAACCAATTTTCAGTTATACTACATCGAGTTAAATACAATATTTGTAGTCAATTGTATGTCATACAACTCACTATTATAAGGCAGTTGAAAGTAATGGATGGAACCCAAAACAAATATAAAAAATGGACAAACATATAAGGCAAAATGAACAGAAAAAATATAAATGTATGATTGATTAAGAGAGGAACTGAGAATAGACAATACAGCTTATTATATCAATATTAGTTCATTAAAATATTACTTAACTAAATAACTGCTACTGAGAGTTAGTAATTCTAGCTAAAGTGACAGTGTTCTAAGATGAAGCGAAGAGGGAGAGAGATGAATGATGCTTGAGAAGTGACATCTGCCAGTGACATCCCTGTCTTGGTGATGCTGCTATGAGAGCATCATCTCTCGCCTTGATGGATGCTGTTTAGTGAAAGACATCTCAGCTTTGATAGATGCTGCCTAGCAAGGGACATCTAATAAGCTGCCTAGCGAAGGACATCACTTACTTGATGGATGCTGCCTATATGAGGGATATCTTTTGCCTAGTGGATGCTGCCTATGGGAATGATATCTTTTGCCTGGTGGATGCTATCTATGGGAATGATATCTTTTGCCTGGTGGATGCTGCTTATGGGAATGATATCTTTTGCCTGGTGGATGCTATCTATGGGAATGATATCTTTTGCCTGGTGGATGCTGCTTATGGGAATGATATCTTTTGCCTGGTGGATGCTGCCTATGGGAATGATATCTTTTGCCTGGTGGATGCTGCTTATGGGAATGATATCTTTTGCCTGGTGGATGCTGCTTATGGGAATGATATCTTTTGCCTGGTGGATGCTATCTATGGGAATGATATCTTTTGCCTGGTGGATGCTGCTTATGGGAATGATATCTTTTGCCTGGTGGATGCTGCCTATGGGAATGATATCTTTTGCCTGGTGGATGCTGCTTATGGGAATGATATCTTTTGCCTGGTGGATGCTGCTTATGGGAATGATATCTTTTGCCTGGTGGATGCTGCTTATGGGAATGATATCTATGCCTTCATACATGCTACCTAAGTGATGAATGTTGGTTAGTGAGTGACATCTCTGCCTTAATGGATGATGGCAAGAGAATGACATTTTTACCTTGATGGATGGTGAGAAGTGACATCTTTTGCTTCATGGATGCTGCCTATGGGAGAGACATCTTTGCCTTGAGTGATGCTGCTTATCTCTTGTCTTAAGTCCCTAGTGATAAAAATATAAAGAAAAAATACTAACAAATAAAATGATACAAAGCATTATGATTAAAATAATGACGTCAGAAATAAACATTTAAGTAAAAAGTTGTGGAATAAAGGAAGCTTTAAATTATAGTAAAATAATTGCCAATAAAAGAAACAAATTAAGAGTATAATTAATAATAATAACAATAATAAAGATAAAAATATAGGTAAAGTAAAGATCCAATATATGCAGAAGTGTATTAAAACCAAATTTGTTAATATAACTTACTACATCCTTTCTCAAGATGATGTAAACAATGACCTGAGCAAGAGTCAAGGAGGTTGTGTATATATGTGTGTGGCAGCGCCTCGTGTGGCGGCCAGCATCAGACGTCGCTATGATTATGAGTCCACACGAAGCTCTGCCACACATATAAACACAAGCTCCTTGCCGCTTGCTCAAGCCATTGTTTACATCATCTTTAGAAAGGATGTAGCAGGTTACGTTAACAAATTTGGTTTTAATACACTTCCACATGTATAGGGTCTTTTCTTCACCTTCATTCAAGCACTACGGCATTGTAGTACGTTTCTCAAAAATAATAATAATAATAAACGAACAGAAACAACTTTCAATTGAACACCATTCAGACCCCAACCCTAAGCAGCAGCTGGCAGGGTGGACCCCAACCCTAAGCAGCAGCTGGCATGGTGGACCCCAACCCTAAGCAGCATCTGGCAGGGTGGACCCCAACCCTAAGCAGCAGCTGGCAGGGTGGACCCCAACCCTAAGCAGTAGCTGGCATGGTGGACCCCAACCCTAAGCAACACAGGTATGGATCACGGACACCAATCACGTCCTTCATGTAAGCACAAGCTCCCGCCTAAACGACACTCTACCCATCTTCGAAGTATTATCTTGGCGAACCAGAATTCGTTTACCATCCCCCAAGCTCATCTTGAAGGTCATCTTACGAAAGAAGTAGCCGTGGATGTCAAGGATTTCAGAAAGTCTTGCAGTGTGGTAGGCGGAAGGTAGTTATCATCGTCCTTGGAATTTAGCGTTCATGGCGCGATGTAGCTTCTCCATATTCTCTAGGAGTAGAGTGTTGGTCGGGTCCTGCGAGAGGGCGGTGTTGTAGTGCTCCAGAGCCAGACCGTAGCGACCCTGTAGAGGAAGACGCTCTCTTATATTACAACTCATATGAGGGATGAACAAATCCACAAGGGCCGTGACGAGGATTCGAACCTGCGTCCGGGAGCATCCCAGACACTGCCTTAATCGACTCATTTGATGCATCACGTTAGTGTGATCTCTGTGTGTGATGATATGAGGGATGTTGATTAAGATGTTTATATATCTGGGTGCCTCTTACTTTGAATCTGTGTTTATAAAGACTTTATGGTGCAAGAGGGTTTTAATACCGATATATATATAGGTCACAGAGCTAGAAACAGAAGCACATGCATACATACATACACAGCAACCCCAAGTCTGTGTATTCATACATATTCACAGAAAGTTACCAAGAACATTAGCATGGGGGAGCAGTAGTACCTGGGTGTGGTAGATGGCTCCCAGGTTGAGGTGGGCGCGGGAGAGGGCCGGCTCCATCCTCACCGCTAACTGGTAACTCTGATGACAGATATACACCGACATGTTAGCTTATATATACACAAATAAAGAGTGGGATGATGTACACTACTAGTGTGTCGCACGGCCCTACGCCTCTACGCGGGTGGCTGCCACCTTCAACTGTTATGTATAAGGTAGTAATCTTAAAAGTTATGAATAGTAAAGCATACTGTTAGAAAGCTATTGAGAGAGAATGAGAGCAGGAGAGTGTGAGTGAGTGTGTGTGTGTGTGTGTGTGTGTGTGTGTGTGTGTGTGTGTGTGTGTGTGTGTGTGTGTGTGTGTGTGTGTGTGTGTGTGTGTGTGTGTGTGTGTGAGTGTATGAGTGAGCGTGCAGGTGAGGAGGCAACATGAGGCCAACAAGCCAGACTGATGAGTGAGGCACCTCATAACTCTTTGCAATATGACCAAAAAAGTGTAAATACCATGGTTCACACTGTTGTTGTTGTTGTTAGTTTTCTGAGTTTCGAGAGAGCAAATTAGATTAATGTTTCGTTACATTTTAGTATTAATTTTCGTAGTGTATAATCTAGTTACCGAAAAAAAAGTTTATTTTCTGTTGGTTTATGTTCCATGGGGATAAAACGTTGACAGTTGTTCCAGAGGAAATTATTCTTTATGGCTTGTTTGGACACTCACATGACACATGTATCTCTGTTTATACATATTTACTTTACACACTCGCATTTTCCCAACCTGTCACCCGCCCCACATACACCTCTCTTCCCCCACACACCTCTCCACACACACTCCTCCCATCCACACATACCTCCACCACACACATACATACACACACACATACACACACACATACCTCCACCACATACACACACATACCTCCACCACACACATACATACACACACACACACACACACACATACCTCCACCACACACACACACACATACCTCCACCACATACACACACATACCTCCACCACACACATACATACACACACACACACACACACACACACATACCTCCACCACACACACACACACACATACCTCCACCACACACACACACACACATACCTCCACCACATACACACACATACCTCCACCACACACATACATACACATACACACACACACACACACATACCTCCACCACACACACACACACACATACCTCCACCACACACACACACACACATACCTCCACCACACACACACACACACATACCTCCACCACACACACACACACACATACCTCCACCACACACACACACACACATACCTCCACCACACACACACACACCTCACCCTCACATATACACTTCCTACTCCACAAAACCAACGCCTCTCCCCCACACAAGCAGGTAAAGAGACAAAATATTTTATATTTTAAAATCCCTATTTTACTCTCCTTCCTAACCTCTCTTTTGGTCACTACCTAAAGTTCTCTTATTTCGTTCATATATCTGTCTGTATCATCCTTTTATTATTTGTTAATAATGAGGGTTGAGTGTGGGTCACGGACCAGGACGGCGGCGTCCATGCGGCTGAAGGTGTGGAGGAGGTCGGCCTGGTGAGCGTGCAGGAGGGCACATAGTTCTCTGGGCTCCTTGCACGCTGTAGCCGCTGCCGTGGCCGCCGCCAGCGCCTCCTCCGAGCGGTTGGTTGCTGACAGCAGGAGAGAGAAGTGGTAGAGCGCCTCCTGGTGGCCAGGAGACTCCTCCAGCACCCCTCCCAGCAGCGCCTCGCTCGCAGAATACTGTTTCTGCTGCAGCTTCACCTGTGCCTGTTGGAGATGACGGACATGGCAAAGTTGCCTTTCTAATAACGGAAAAAATGGGTTCCCTCCAGAGAGTTGCCAAATATTATCACATTATTAACGGGCACTGGAAGCCTGTAAACTTAATTAAGGATCCCCCTAGGCCTATGGGTCATCTTCTGTAGGTCACAACCCACAATAGTTAACTAATTACCGGCTGTTAATTCTCAAGTAGGTGAACAGATGCATGAGGTGAGGAAACATGCCCAACCGTCTCTCCTTGCCCGATCGCTGAGTGAGGGGGGGGGGAAAGAGGGGAGGCAAGGCACGTGTATATATACAGAGGTGTACCTATCTTCTGGGTGTACATATAGATAGTTTACTTTAGTCCTGGACAATGTTCAAGAGTACAGTAAACTTGCTGTTAGGTCAGTAAACTTTGGCCACAGCCTCGTGCTCTTGTGTGGCCTTGTGCTCAATACAGGAACAGTGGTCCACTAGGCTGTGGTGTGACCCACACTTCCACTGAAGCCAAACCCCCACATAAACTGTCCCTTAACAATAACCAGTCGCATTTCTACCATTGTTAAACAGTTACGTTGTTGTTGAAGACTCAGCTACTGGGAACAACAAGTTGCGAGTAGCACGGCCTATGGTGAGCCCGTAGTGAATTATCAGGTAATACCCACACCCCCATCACTACCTCTACACTACCCCCACTATCCTGCTTCCTGGCACCCCACCCCCCTACCCCTTCCCTTCAACCCCCACAGTGCTACTCCCCCTACCAGGTATACACTCCTCCTCCTCACTACACCCAGCACCCCCTACGCGCCCCCACTGAGCCAGTACTCACCAGGTGCACTCGAGCACTGAGGTGCTGAGGGTGACGGTGGGTGACCAGGTGCAGCAGTCTGTGGGCCTCGCCCAGCTGACCTCTCAGTATACACAGACGGGCGAGGGCGGTGGCTGTGTCTGCGTCCCACTGGCACGCCAGGGCTCTGCTGGGGCGAGGAGCAGAGTGAGAGGGGCGGGGGGGGGGGGCAGAGTATGAGGGGGGCGGCATGTCAGGGGCAGGGGTGACAAGGAAGGAAACAGGTGGAGAGTGAAGGATGAGTGAGTGAGAGGTGAGTAAAGGCAGCAAGTAAGTGACAGTCTTAGAGTGAGGTGAGGTAAGAGACAAGACAAACAGACAGATAATGAGGAAAAGGAGTAAAATCAAGCGAGGAATGAGGCAGAGAGAGAGTGGACACAGAGTGTGTGAGAGGTGAGAAAGAGGATATAATACAGATATATAATACAATTAATAAAGATATAAAGACAAATTGATAGACAGCTAATTATAATACTGAAAAATGGAAATAAACCACCTTATAGACGGTTAGTTACTCGCTGACACATCCAGGCGGACAGTACCTGGAGTAGAGACGGTGGGCGTGGTTGTGATGGTCGCGGGTGTTCATGAGGGCGGCGTAGTTGGCGAGGGCGTGGGCGTGGGTGGGGTCGAGACTGAGGGCGGCCTCGTACTGCCTGGCGGCGGCCTCGTGGCGTCCTGGGGGCGAGGACAGACGAGGGGAAACAGTTAAGGTGACTGAACAAGGAAGATGAGAGATCCTTGTTACACTTGGAGGTTAACATCCCATCATAGCCTGAATTTATATATTTTTTCCTGAATTTATATATTTTTTCCTGAATTTATACATTTTTCTAAAAAAAAATCTTATGAAATGATGAATCTGTCCATTTCATTATTTAAAAGTTAATTTTTTTTAAATTTGAGTTGAAACTAACATAGATTTATGACATTATCTAACCAACCCTTCCTAACCTAAACTAACACAACTAAGTCAATAAATGATGTTCCTAATATGATAATAATTCCAATAAACTAATTGGAAACAATTTATTGAAAATAAAGAAAATCACTCAGTCTATTAGGCAAATCGGGTCTTGCATAGTAGGCCGAGAAGTGCATTCTGGCTACTAGGTACGACATAATATATATATATATATATATATATATATATATATATATATATATATATATATATATATATATATATATATATAGGGGTATAGTGGCAGCAGGTTCTGGTTTAGACAGATATGGTGTGTTTATTATGACTGCATAATCCGTTGTGATATATATAGTGTTTAAAATAATTACCAGACATTGCTAAATGCTCGATACTTAACATATCTGGAAATGTACCATTGTTACCGCATTTTGTCTTGTCTTTTTCGCTTTACGTGCCCCTTCCCTTCTCCATTCCATCTCTCTCATTCTCTCTCTTCCCCTCCATCCCTCACCCCCCCCTCCTCACTCCCCTTTATACCAACTTTTACAATTATCAAATGGACTGTCTAAACTGTAAAGTGTGTTTCACCTAGTTGCACTCAACTAGTTGTGCTTGCGGGGGTTGAGCTCTGGCTCTTTGGTCCCGCCTCTCAACTGTCAATCAGCTGGTGTACAGATTCCTGAGCCTATTGGGCTCTATCATATCTACCCTTGAAACTGTGTATGGAGTCAGCCTCCACCACACCACTGCCTAGTGCATTCCATTTACTAACTACTCTGACACTGAAAAAGTTCTTTCTAATGTCTCTGTGGCTCATCTGGGTACTCAGTTTCCACCTGTGTCCCCTTGTTCGTGTCCCACCCGTGTTAAATAATCCATCCTTCTCTACCTTGCTAATTCCACTGAGAATTTGTGGAGCATGTCTCCCCGAGCTCTTCAGTCTTCCAGCGAAGTGAGTCGCAATTTCACGCAGTCTTTCCTCGTATCTCATGCCTCTTAGTTCCGGGACTAATCTAGTAGCATATCGTGGAAATTTGTCCGGCTTCGTCTTGTACTTGACACGGTATGGACTTCATGCTGGGGCCACATACTCCAATATTGGTGCTACATATGTGGTATACAAGGTTCTGAATGATTCCTTACACAGTTTTCTTAAGTTCGTTATGATGTTGTCGAGCCTCGTGTACGCCGCTGATGATATTGTTTTGATGTGGGCTTCAGGGGACGGGTCTGGTGTGATATTAACCGCTAGATATTTGTCTGTCCGTTTCGTGAAGGACTGCGTCTGCCATTGGGTAAGCGGGAGAGTGTGAACAAACAGCTGTTGGATACTAACACAACCAACCACTTCAAGACTGGTAATCAACAAATGGACTGAACAAAGAAGTCGTGGAAGCCACCTCCAGCCATAATTTAAACTACGACTTGACAATGAATTAAACAATCAGCAAAGATAATTTGTAACACAAGAGGTAGAAGAAGGCCAACTGGGGTCATACAGCGCTAACCCTCACTTTCTTGCCTCACGATATAACGAAATAAGCGACTATAACATAACACATTTTGTATAATGAAGAGGCGGGGCCTTAGAGCTATAGCCCAACCGTGCTAGTAGGCAGTATTAGGGGGAAGGAAGGAATTATCAAGGGAAAGCGCCAAGCCATTACGACTATATAGCACTGGGAAGGGGTCAGGATAAGGATTTGGGATGGGACGGGGGGGGGAGGGAATGGTGCCCAACCACTTGGACGATCGGGAATTGAACGCCGATCTGCATGAAGCGAGTCCATCGCTCTACCGTCCAGCCCAAGTGTTAGGTAGAGAGACTCACCCAGTTTGTGGAGGAAGGCGGCGTAGTGAGCGAGCAGCGTCGGGTCGGAGGGTCGGGCGGAGATGAGAGAGATGTAGACACCTTCAGCCTCCCTCCACCTGCCCTCCTGTAGGTACAGGTCAGCCAGCAGGCGACCTGTCCCTGATGTGGCCCCCTCCTCCTCCTCCTCCTCCTCCTCGTCTTCCTCTTCCTCCTCTTCCTCGTCCTCCTGGTCATCTTCGTCTTCATGGTCGCCCTCTTCCTCGTGCTCCTCCTCGTCATCATCTTCAGGAATAAAGATCGATTCAAGGAGCGAGACTGCTTGGTGGACGCGTCCCTGACGCCTGGAACAGGACGAGAGACACACTTGTAGTGAGGTAAGGACGTAGAGGTGAGAGACAGGGAGGGAGATGAGGAGGGAGGGACGTAGAGGTGAGAGACAGAGGGAGAGGGAGAGTGAGGGAGATCAACATTAAGTGACAAAGTGTTGGCAGTTATACAGATAAACAAAGTCTTCAGCCTTGACTAAAGGGAACTAGTTAAGGAACTCTGAGAAGCAACTTTGAGATCTTCGAAGCAAGTCTCCGACTCTAACTATGGGCTGTGTTAGGTTAGGGTTATATGGCCACACTTAAACCTGGCCACTCTGGGGGTACTCACCCCCAGAGAGTGGCCAGGTTGTGGGTACTCACCCCCAGAGAGTGGCCAGGTTGTGGGTACTCACCCCCAGAGAGTGGCCAGGTTGTGGGTACTCACCCCCAGAGAGTGGCCAGGTTGAGGGCGGCGTGAGGGTGCCGGGGGTGGATCTGGAGGGCCACGGAGAAGTGCCACTCAGCCTGCTGGTCGAGGTGCCGCTCAAGCAGTAGAGTGCCCAGGTTGTTGTGGGCGCTGGGGTACCGCCACCATAACCTGCCCCCAGAGACACGCGTCAGTGGTGGCGGAGGGGGGGGGGACATGGGGCCAGGAGGGTAGGGGGAGGATAGGGTAGGAGTGTAGGGGAAGGTAGGAGGGTAGGGTAGGAGTGTAGGGAATGAGAGTAGGGTAGGAGGGTAGGGGAGTGTAGGGTAAGAGGGTAGGGGAGTGTAGGGTAAGAGGGTAGGGGAGGAGTGTAGGGGGAGGAGTGTAGGGTAGGGTAGGGGAGGGGTCATCAATACAATACTGCAGCTTGTTGTAATAGTCATCACAATAATACTAATATAGGTTGTTATAGTCATGGTGATGATATTGGTGAGTGAGGCTGGTGGTGGTGGTGGTGGTGATGGTGGTGGTGGTGGTGGTGGTGGTGGTGGTGATGGTGGTGGTGGTAAAATAACTATTTTAAAATCCCTGGACTATTTGTATTATTATAAAATCAATAATTATAAAATTTATTATAATAAAATCTAATAGATTTTAGAGAGAGAGAGAGAGAGAGACAGACAGACAGACAGAGAGAGAGAGAGAGAGAGAGAGAGAGAGAGAGAGAGAGAGAGAGAGAGAGAGAGAGAGAGAGAGAGACAGAGAGAGAGACAGAGACACAGAGAGAGCGCCACCTACCTGATGGCCTCCTTGTAGTGGTGTACAGCAGCGTCATGGTTGTGGACGTCCCTCTGAAGGTTGGCGTAGTTGTAGTGCATCTTGGCGTTGTGCGGGAGAGTGCGCAGACCAGACCTGCGTCAGAGGCACGAGTGGGGGGACTTACTAACACTACCACACAATCATGTCCCACCTCATACCACACAATCAGCTGGGATATGATTGTAACTTACAAATTTGTTCAAAGAAAGTGGACTAAAGTGGACAAAGACACTATATTCAAATTGGGCAATGAAGGGGGAGGAATGTTGACCAGACCACACACTAGAAAGTGAAGGGATGACGACGACGTTTCGGTCCGTCCTGGACCGAAAGGGGAAACCATCTATGGAAATTGGTCAAATAATGAGTTAGAGGAAAGCAATACTTACGTATTGCTCGTCACGGCCCTTGTGGATTTGTTCATTTAATACTTACGTAAATAAGGTGTCCCTCGAACGCCAGTCAAGGCTCCTGCGTGCCGTCCTGATGGAGAAGGTCAGAAGCAGTGCCAGTAACAGGTGCCTCCACGCCCGACCTGGCACCACCGTGGCCGCCCGCGCCGCCCCCACGCCTACGATGGCACACCAGCCCAAACTGTCAACACATACACACTTTGCTACCGGGCTCCACGCCTCTTAAAAGTCCTCATATTAAAACACACAGATCACACTAACGTGATGCATCAAATGAAGAATGTCGTAGCTCAGTCGATTAAGGCAGTGTCTGGGATGCTCCCGGACGCAGGTTCGAATCCTCGTCACGGCCCTTGTGGATTTGTTCATCATATTAAAAATAAATTATATCAGATCTTGTCTTGTTCTAATGCAATAATGTTGGAATATTTCGCTAGAGAGACTCTAAGTTGTTAGTCTCTATTCCTAAGGGACCAACCACCATTATACAAGCATGGAATATTATTCAAATTGAGAATTTCTTAAACAAATAACTATTTCTATTCCAACAGAATAGAGAAATTATATACTTCAAATAAGTAAAAGACAAAAATTGTGTTGTATATATATATATATATATTTACAATTCAGTCGGAACTTGTTAACAATTAATAGCACAATTTCTCTCTTATCTGACCAAGTTCCCATTTTCTATACTCCTCTGAAAATGTATTTTCCGCCTCGCCAGGAGAGACTTAGGTAAACCCATATTTCTCTCCGCTCTTAAAACTCGACAACCCAAGAGAAATTTGCACTAAATCCTCTTACCTCCGCTTGGTAAAATCAACACTATGACTCACGTCTTTAATTCACCAGTTGCCTGCTCGCCCCTCCTCCCCCCCCCCCACCCCCACCCCACGCCCCCCTGTCATGCTCACCCCTCATGGTGGGGGGAAGGGGGGAGGGGGAGCGCTTTGGTAACGTTAATTCGTTTTTAAATATTTGCAGATAAAGTGGCGGGCCGCAGATGTAGGCAAGTGTTGGGGTGAGAGTGTTATTGAAATTTGACTTAAAATGTACTTGCAATTTTAAGTACTTTGGGGCGAAGTAAATATGAGGTTATAATACTTAAATCCTTCAAGATTGGTTCACTAGCAAGGATAATCCTGTTTTAAAATGCTACTTATATCCAAACATACTTTGTAAGTTACTCTATTTGTTTAACAGCTCACAACTAGTACAGCAGAAGTAGCTTTGTGTGTGAGGTGTAGAGACGTCAACTTGCTGAAGCACTAATGCACTATATTGTCTTGAGATGATTTCGGGGCTTTAGTGTCCCCGCGGCCCGGTCCTCGACCAGGCCTCCTGGTTGCTGGACTGATCAACCAGGCTGTTGGACGCGGCTGCTCCTCATTCCAAATAGGATAGGCCTAACACACCCACCATTCCTTCACCTGAAAACATGACGCGCTAATTAGCCTACCTGGGAATATAGAGGAGGCGCTCGGCCAGCACGAAGCCCACTCTGAAGAAGGCGTTGGAGGCGGGGAGGAAGGGGAGGCAGAGCACCAGCAGCGCCCACACCACCACCAGCCGCTCCCGTCTCTGTAACACAGACAACACACCGCAGTTTGGTCCAGTGTAATTACCACTGTTGTAGCGGAGCTGGAGACCTGGACACACCTGAAGACAGTACTTGTGTGTGTGTGGGGGGGGGGGGGAGAAATACTTAACAACGGTAGAAATTGTGGAATTGAAATTATAACGAGCGAGTGATTGTAAAAGACTATTTAGGTGCTGGGGTTCTATCTCTATCTATCTATCTCTCTCTCTTAAGTCTATCAGCCTCTGGTGCTGGGGTAAGGTCTATCAGCTTCTGGAAGGTTGTAAGACACATCCAGGCTGCAAACTATCGCCAGAGGGACTCAACACTCTTCAGTTCCAGTGCGAGAAATGATCACGACATTTAAAATACCCATAGGAAGAGACTGCGTTGAAAAGGACAAACTTATAAGGACACGAATAAGGTGACATTTGAAAACTAATCACCCAGATGAGGCACAGAGAACGCGTTAAGTGTGAGAGTAGTAAATCTGCGAATGGCATACTTTATACATGGGTTTAAAGCTCTGTACGATAGAGCTTAAAGGATCTAGAATATATTTCAGACTCTTTATTTATATTTATATATAAATACAGTATACCACAAGTATATTTAAGGCTTAGAGACGGGACTGTAAAGCTGAAGATCAACTCGTCGTAAGAGCTGCAGCAGCAAGGTGCTCTTACCCTAGAGCTGAGAACTTACGCTGGACCTGAGAGCTGACCCTGGAGCTGAGAGCTTACCCTGGACCTGAGAGCTTACCCTGGACCTGAGAGCTTACCCTGGACCTGAGAGCTTACCCTGGACCTGAGAGCTTACCCTGGACCTGAGAGCTGAGAGTAGCAGGAGGATGATGGTGGTGTAGAGAGCCAGAGAGGCCGTGTTCCTAGTATCCAAGAGCGACGACACCAGAGGGATGGAGGCCATCTGCCAGTCGTATGAGAGCGAGGCTGGGCACAGTAAGAGCCACACATTGTGAGCCGGCAGGTAGCAGAACGTGAGGAACCTGGTATGTGAAAAACACAAATCATTTCACGTCGAGTTTTTGCTTTTATTGAAAGAACTGAATTTTTTTAATAGAAAACTGCTTTACTTCTACATTGTTACAAATAAAATTACGTTTTTATATCCCAAGAATGCTTTTAAATTTACCATTTTTGGGGAATGTGAAGTTTTATAAGTTTAATTTTTAGTGTTGCTGTGAAGGGTCATTGTTTGTTACTGAAAGCAAATAATTGGACGTGTTTAAATCTACGGTATGACCGGCATCTGTTTTATTCATTATTGGAAACAAATTCTTTATCTGTGCAAGATAAAACTGTTCATTTATTCATTATAACGACATATTTAAGACAAGAATGATCTTCATAACACCGACCTTCTCACATTATCAAAACGAATGTCTTAATACCTCTTAAGTCATGATTCTCTTACCTGTTATCTTGCTAATTCAAAAGAACCTTTTTCCGTTACCTAGTTAAAGATAACAATTGTGACTCCTGCAGGCGAGGAGTCACAATAACGTGGCTGAAGTATGTTGACCAGACCACACACTAGAAGGTGAAGGGACGACGACGTTTCGGTCCGTCTTGGACCATTCTCAAGTCTATTGTGACTTGAGAATGTCGTCGTCCCTTCAACTTCTAGTGTGTGGTCTGGTCAACAATTGTCACATCTGTTCTCTTGCTAATTCAGTAAACTCTATCACTTGTTCTATTGCTAATTGAAGCGAATTCTTGCCTGGTGAGGGAGCTGTTGGCGAAGGAGGCCGGGTTGTCTTGGTCTGAGAACACTGGAGACGACCTCATCAACGCTAACCTCATCACCACAGTCATCAGCGCCTGGTGAACCATCCACGTAACTCTTAGTCTCGTTTACCATATTCGCCAGTCAGTCAGTCAGGTAGGTGCAATTAAGCGAGTTGAGTGTTCAGTTAACAGTGAGTGAGTGAGTCAGTGAATCACACCAATTCATTAGAAAAGCTCGTCTGTTGACCAGTCGGCTTTTTACTCTGTAAATCAGTCAATCATCTAGTCCATTAATAAGTCAATTAGTTGGTCTGCTAGTTTGCCATCAGTTATGAAGCAATCAGACACTCCATCAGCCGGTAACTACCTCAAGCTGTCATTCGGGTTGTCAATCATCATCTCGGTCAGTAAAATTCAGACAAGAAGAAAAACTATTATCTGATAATTTGTCATTCATTACTTTCTAACAGCCAGTCAGCAGTTTCCTCATTCAGTCAGTCAAATAAAAAGGCAGTAAGCTAATATGTAAGACAGTCGTCTAATTAGTAACAGCGACAGTCACTCAACAAGTCAGTAACTCAGCGAGACATTTTTGTCAGTAACTCATTGACAGTGGGTTAGCTAACCAGTAACGCAGTGTCTGTCAGTCATAACATGACTGGTGACAGTCTGTAACTGTCACAACTACCGTCATCCTCCCACGCTAAACTTATGCTAAACTTAAAAAAGAAAATATTCACTTAAATATTATTTTCCAGGCGACGGCAAGTGATTACGATAAGGTCAAAAGGGGTCAGAAGTCAGGGTCAAAATACATATTGTACAGTACTGTTAATCTTATGTTGGTATAATATTATTATTATTATTATTAAAACACAAACATTTTAGAACACTAAAGCACATTTTTTCTTTGAAAAATCAATAGCTGGGACCCTCTGAAGAAGGTCCTTAATTGGGATCGAAATGTGTGTTTTGTAAAGTTAATTATTACTGTTTGAAGCGTAAGTCCAACATATCTATGAATGAGTGTGTATGGACAGGAGCCGCCTGGTGTGGACCAATAGCTAGGCCTCCTGCTATTACTTGTTGAGGTGTTATACCTTGAGGTGCTTTCGAGGCTTAGCGTCCCCGCGGCCCGGTCGTCGACCAGGCCTCCTGACCACCTCCAGCTCTGTTATGTAGATAAGTATATAACAGGGACGTGTGTACTCACCAGACAGATGAGTTTGCCTGTCCTGCGTGTGAGAGGCGCCACCACACACCTGTCTGCCCGGCCCACCACCAACCTTAGGGAGGAGCAGGGAACCTTCACACATACTCAGGCACTGAAGGTCAACAATGACACAATAACCATAATATAACAATACTTATACAAAGAGGAAGAAAAGCAAGAACTTACCTCTTGAGAGTGTGGGCGCTGAGGGTGAGGTCCCAGGCCACACACACGCCCAGGACCGTGAGGGCGTGTTCCTTACACAGCACGCCCACACACGCCCATAACCCCGCCCACCACAGCCACACTCGTTCTGTTCTTCTGGTGGCTGCGTGTGTGGTTGTGGTGACGCTGGTTGTTGTGGTGGAGGTGGTGGTGGAGGTGGCAGCGGCTCGTAGCGATCTAGACAAGTGGGAACAATTCTCTGTATTTAGTCATTGGATATGAGGAGTGTTCCCGTCCTCATAAACTGCAAACTGCTCGTTAATCTAGCCGCCAAACCCGCTGTTTAGGAAGGAAAATACTTTACGTCCGCGTCCAAGAGCCTGGTTGATCAGTCCGGCAACCAGGAGGCCTCGTCGACGACCGGGCCGCGGGGACGCTAAGCCCCGGAAACATCTCAAGGTAGGTACCCACGAATCACAACTGACATCCGAACAGTTCCCGAACACTCCTTCGCTGACCACCTCTGTTCGAATCGCTATTTTTCAATGCTTCACCCACGTATTACAAATATAAATGATTGCCAACAGAAGCTAAATACCTGACCCAACCTAGGCATATACATATACTTCAACTATATAATATTTATATTTTATATAAGTTTATATTGGAGAAAAATAATTTTAAATATAGTGTTAAAAATGGTGAATCGTCTTGGAAGCCATAACCACTTTGTGATCTCTATAAGCAGTTTACAAGTGGCAGTTATAGAGATCACAAGTGGATGTCAGTTAGTTAACAAAGAGCGTATATAAGTGTGATGAGGGAGCGTGGGAAATGTTGTGCTCGTGTGAGGGGAACATTCCTCTGGGTGTCACAAGTGTCATGACATGTTTGGTAGTTCATGACTGCATGACAGTTGGAGAGAAGTTAGGTCTGCAGTGTGTCATGGACTCTCACTCAAGTACACACACACCTGTCTCATTGATTTTGTATTTAAGGTTCAAGACTTGGGACTTGGGATGGTTACTGGTAGTTCTCACTGTGTGGGGGTTCTCTCTCTCTCTCTCAACTTCATGTAAGTCCATTAACAACAATCGTCAATTATTGGTGAGTACCCCATGACAGGTCTGCTGTGAGTGACCAGGAGAGTGTCAATTACTTCTCACATTCTAAAGATACACAACTTTCTGCGCCTGTAGACTTGTAAGAACCTGGAGGTCTACTCCACCTGGCTACAACACACCAGTTACATAACTGGTTATTTATGGCCAAACCTTCTGGCAGTTGACAACACTGGTAATGATAGCAAGATGACGAGCAGTTGGGCAGCAGTAACTGGCCAACATTGTTCTCAACACGGACTGGGGCCAGATTCACGCAAGCACTAACGAACGTGTACATCTTTCCTCAATCTTTGACGGCTTTGGTTACATTTATTAAACAGTTTACAAGCATAAAACTTGCCAATCAACTGTTGCTGTTGTTATAAACAGCCTCCTGATGCTTCGGAGCTCATTAACTGTTTAATAATTGTAAACAAAGCCGCCAAAGATTGAGAAAAGATGGACAGGTTCGTAAGTGCTTGCGTAAGTTCTTTCGTGAATCTGGCCCCAGGTCTCCATCTTCACTGATACCATCACCTTCTTTACCCTGCATATGGGCAAGCTTAGCGTGAGACGGTCTGTGTACGCCACTGTCAAGCTTAGCATTAGATGGTCAACGTGAACCCCTGTTAAGGTATCAACACCGTTGCTGGAGGATGGAGTGGCGATTTCGGAGACATCTATGAACCTACACTCCAACTTCCAAGTATTAGACGAGACGCAGACAACGCCATCTGTTGGCGGTGGGAGATGGCGTCGGTGAAAGTCTCCTCTTTCATACCTCATTTAGGAGGTCGATGAAGATGACTTCTGGTGGGTGGCGTAATGATTCCCACGCTATCTAGGTTGTGAATACAATTACAATTTCAGTTCCCCGGTGGAAGAGTGTTATCCTTAAGGCCACCCAGTATACTAGGAACATAGAAGAAGAGGTTATATGACACGTTACCTTGAGGTTACCTTGAGGTGCTTCCGGGGCTTAGCGTCCCCGCGGCCCGGTCGTCGACCAGGCCTCCTGGTTGCTGGACTGATCAACCAGGCTGTTGGACGCAGCTGCTCGCAGCCTGACGTGTGAGTCACAGCCTGGTTGATCAGGTATTACGTTAACAGAAAGAACCAGGTCACTGGACTAGGCTACCCATAACAACCCCTGACAAGCTTTGGGATTAAGAGCAGTATGTCGAAAAGGTTCTGTTATAAAAATGATTGTTGTTGTGGTCAACATATTATTGAAATTATCATAGTTTAGCACTATCATTATTCTGGAAAAAAATTGGATTTATACTTTTAAGATTGGAGTTAAAGATTCAATAGTTTATAATACTATTACTCGTGCAAATTTTCACGTGTAGATTTGATAAGAGGCCAATAGGCTCCAGAATATCTACACCAGTTGCTTGACAGTTGAGAGGCAGGACCAAAGAGTCAAACCCGTTCTCGCACTTTCGTATAGTCAATATTGACTTATTAAATACGTGCATATGTGACATACTAAACATACTAGTTTACCTTGAAAAGCTTCATAGAAAACACTGACCTTACCTAACCTTCTTAGTATGTTAAGATAAGCATCTAATTGCTTCGTAATTACAATTATTACTTAACGTATTATAGGTATAGTTTAAGTAATAATTGTAATTACGAAGCAACAAGATGCTTATCTTAACATACTAAGAAGGTTAGGTAAGGTCAGTGTTTTCTATGAAGCTTTTCAAGGTAAACTAGTATGTTTAGTATGTCACATATGCACGTATTTAATAAGTCAATATTGACTGTAAGAAAGTGCGAGAACGGGTTGAAGAGTCAGAGCTCAACCTCCGCAAACACATCTAGGTGAGTACACACACACACACACACACACACACACACACACACACACACACACACACACACACACACACACACACACCTGTGGTAGGCGGTGAAGGAGGCGAGGAAGGCGGCGGCAGCCAGGAGGTCGGCGCGTCCCACCAGGCCGGTCACCTGTCCACACACAGACCAAACACAGTCAACAAGACATAATAAACTAACTGGCTCAAGTGATCTAAGACTCGTGTTAACACTAAACATTATAACACCATAAAGAGTGACGTCACACCACTGTAACATCCTTAAAACTACACCGAAAAATATTCATTAAACGATTAATATGAAATGTTAAAAAAAGCCCAAAATACTGTTGCATGATAAATTTTGTTATATATAACTTTATCATATATATCATCTTTAAACAGTGTAGGAACCAGTATGTATTGTATATGTGGTGCCACATGTGGTACATGTGCTATATGTGCCACATACTACTTATTGTTCACCTTCTAAGTGAGTCCAGAAGGTGTTCCGTCAGCCTCACTTCAGTACTCACCGCGTTGGAGCCACCTCCTTCACGTCTCTTCTAACCTTCCAACTGTCTGACAGTGGCCAGGAGGGCCAGGTATAGTGTGGCCAGGAGGGCCAGGTATAGGGTGGCCAGGAGGGCCAGGTATAGTGTGGCCAGGAGGGCCAGGTATAGGGTGGCCAGGAGGGCCAGGTATAGTGTGGCCAGGAGGGCCAGGTATAGGGTGGCCAGGTATAGTGTGGCCAGGAGGGCCAGGTATAGGGTGGCCAGGAATAGTGTGGCCAGGGTGGCCAGGAGGGCCAGGTATAGGGTGGCCAGGTATAGGGTGACCAGGTATAGTGTGGCCAGGGTGGCCAGGAGGGCCAGGTATAGGGTGGCCAGGGTGGCCAGGAGGGCCAGGTATAGGGTGGCCAGGTATAGTGTGGCCAGGTATAGGGTGGCCAGGTATAGGGTGGCCAGGAGGGCCAGGTATAGGGTGGCCAGGTATAGGGTGGCCAGGAGGGCCAGGTATAGTGTGGCCAGGTATAGTGTGGCCAGGGTGGCCAGGAGGGCCAGGTATAGGGTGGCCAGGGTGGCCAGGAGGGCCAGGTATAGGGTGGCCAGGTATAGTGTGGCCAGGTATAGGGTGGCCAGGTATAGGGTGGCCAGGAGGGCCAGGTATAGGGTGGCCAGGTATAGGGTGGCCAGGAGGGCCAGGTATAGTGTGGCCAGGTATTGGGTGGCCAGGAGGGCCAGGTATAGGGTGGCCAGGTATAGGGTGGCCAGGAGGGCCAGGTATAGGGTGGCCAGGTATAGGGTGGCCAGGTATAGTGTGGCCAGGTATAGGGTGGCCAGGTATAGGGTGGCCAGGAGGGCCAGGTATAGGGTGGCCAGGTATAGGGTGGCCAGGAGGGCCAGGTATTGGGTGGCCAGGTATAGGGTGGCCAGGAGGGCCAGGTATAGGGTGGCCAGGTATAGGGTGGCCAGGTATAGGGTGGCCAGGTACAGGGTGGCCAGGAGGGCCAGGTATAGGGTGGCCAGGTATAGGGTGGCCAGGCCCTACCGTAAGAGCACACAGGAAGCAGACAGGAAATGGAATAATAGAAGCACCAACAGTCAATCACACTCCCGGACACTTCCCCCCTACACTCACTCTCCGCTCCATTTCCCTCTCCATTTTACAGTAATAAATGTTTCAAGCCAACTTTTAACAGAATTATTTAATTAGTAAATTTCATTATATATATATATATATATATATATATATATATATATATATATATATATATATATATATATATATATATAACTGAAAACTCACACCCCAGAAGTGACTCGAACCCATACTCCCAGAAGCAACGCAACTGGTATGTACAAGACGCCTTAATCCACTTGACCATCACGACCGGACAAAATGAGGTGATAGCCGAGGCTATTTGAACCACCCCACCGCCGGCACTCGGATAGTAATCTTGGGCATAGCATTTTACCAAATCACCTCATTCTTTGGGGCACACGTGAGGAACACAAATGCGAACAAGCCTGAATGGTCCCCAGGACAATATGCAACTGAAAACTCACTTCTGGGGTGTGAGTTTTCAGTTGCATATTGTCCTGGGGACCATTCAGGCTTGTTCGCATATATATATATATATATATATATATATATATATATATATATATATATATATATATATATATATATATATATATATATATATATATATATATATATATATATATATATATATATATATATATATATATATATATATATATATATATATATATATATATATATATATATATATATATATATATATATTCTTTTTAGTGAGAGGAGTAATGTGAGACAGGTGATGGAGTGAGCTTGTGGAGTGATATCACTAGTGAAGCCGAGGCTCGCTGAGCGTCTTGAGTTGCAACGGCCGTTATCTTTGTGTCTTTGATATTCAGCCAAGAAATGAACCGTGAGATGATTGGCTTTGTTCCTATATTTTTGGCTGGGTAGACTGGTGATCTTTCATTTCATCTTTCAGGAGATGAGACGTGTGAGGCGTCATGTCAGAGGAGGCTGCGTGCTGGAGGTGTGAGCCAACTTGTGCTTCAGAGGACCTGGTACCACACCAACTTCAATGTTCTAAGTTGTTGAGCTGCCTCGCTTGAGTCTCTCCTCCTGGCGCTCCTCCCCAGCACATCATCCATACTCATCCAGTCTCATCTATACAGGGGAAAGTCATCCATACTCATCCAGTCTCAGCTGTTACTGCATGTTATCTAATCATTATCATGATGGAGGGTTCTCAGCAGTAAAGGTAGCCTGGCCAGGCCTACCTGAGGCGAGGACAGCTTCACACTGGTACAAGCGGCACCTCATGCCAGCCTCGCTACGCTACAAGGGTAGAGTAGCGCACTTCTCACCCCGGGGACACACTTACGGCTGAGGACAGTCGGCCCGTGATGTCATGGTCCACGTGAAGGTGCCGAGGACACTTCTCTCTTCTACACTCCCATACTGACTTGTTTTTATGTCTCTTCCGCACTCCGTCTCTCTGTTACACACACACACACACACACACACACACACACACACACACACACACACACACACACACACACACACACACAAAGTAATATGGTGGAGGCTGACTCCATACACAGTTTCAAGTGTAGATATGATAGAGCCCAATAGGCTCAGGAACCTGTACACCTGTTGATTGACGGTTGAGAGCCGGGACCAAAGAGCTATAGCTCAACCCCCGCAAGCACAAATAGATGAATACAACCCACCACAACCAGCCCCCACTACCTACTGCTTCAGTGTGTACAGGATGGGTGGCGAAGAGCAGGCCGCTGGCCAAGGTCTCTGCCAGCGTCAGACGCAGCGTCGCCAGGAGAGTGCGGGCGTACAGGAGCGTCACGCACCCGTGCAGGAAGACATTAATGGTATGATCAGCCAGGCTGTTGTTGCCCCACACCCAGTGACCTAACCTGTACACGGAGAGTGCAACAGTTAGTGTGAGAGGGCAGACAACGACAGACTGGTGCCGGTAAACAAACATTTACAAATATTTTCGTAACATAAAAACCATCAAAAATCATCACTATTTTAGGCTTCGGCGGTATCATTAATTGAGCTGCGGGGCATAATTACTTAATTTATTTAATTAGTATTTACGAATATGCTGATACAATCACAAAGTTTACACAGGTAAACTGTTTATATTGTAGCAAGAGTTAATAATGCTGAATGACAGGTGTTTTCGGGGGGGGGGGGGGGAAGGAACGGGAACTATTAAGGGGAAAGCACCAAGTCATTACGACTATATAGCACTTGGAAGAGGTCAGGATAAGGATTTGGGGTGGGACGGGGGGGGGGGAGGAATGGTGTCCAACCACTTGGACGGTCGGGGATTGAACGCCGACCTGCATGACGCGAGGCCGTCGCTCTACCGTGGGGGAGGAATAGGTGCCAGGAGAAAATGATACCTTTTCTATACTAATTAACCTGCAATAAACTAGAGTAATTCAATATGCGAGTTTTCAAATTATAGATCAAAGGTGACTGTTGCACACGATGGCTGCGCAATAGAAATATTATAGTTTAGTTTTATTTTCATGGAGTTTAGTGAATAGTAAAATATTGAGCAACAGTTATTTTTTATAGCAACAACTGTGTGCAATTATTTCAACTCAACTGTATGACTGGTTAATTAGTTAAATTGTTGTGATTTTGGAACTGTGTTGATCTTAGAAGACGAGGTCCACAAGCCTAGTTGAAGGTGTTAGTCAGTCAAGCCTAGCTGAAGGTGTTAGGTGGTCAAGCCTAGCTGAAGGTGTTGGTCAGTCAAGCCTAGCTGAAGGTGTTAGGTGGTCAAGCCTAGCTGAAGGTGTTAGGTGGTCAAGCCTACCTGAGAGTATTAGGTTGATCAAGCCTAGCTGAAGGTATTAGTTAGTCAGGCCTAGCTGAAGGTATTAGTCAAGCCTAGCTGAAGCTATTAGTCGGTCAAGCCTAGCTGAAGGTATTAGTCGGTCAAGCCTAGCTGAAGGTATTAGTCAAGCCTAGCTGAAGGTATTAGTCAAGCCTAGCTGAAGGTATTAGTCAAGCCTAGCTGAAGGTATTAGTCAAGCCTAGCTGAAGGTATTAGTCAAGCCTAGCTGAAGGTATTAGTTAGTCAAGCCTAGCTGAAGGTGTTAGGTGGTCAAAAATACTCTCATCATAACAACAAACATTTTGCTAGAACTTTTGCTTATCTCACAAATATAAAGTTTCAAGAAAATTAAACAAAAATGACTTTGATGCTTAGGAAACTAATGGTAAAAAGTTTGGGCCAAATTGACTGGACATGTTGACCAGATGTGTTCCTGTCTTGTAGTGAAGATGATAGTGATAAGGGAGGAGGAGGGTGGTGATAGTGATGAGGGGGGAGGAAGAGGGTGGTGATAGTGATGAGGGAGAAGGGTGATAGTGACGGCACTGGCTGTGGAGTGGGTATTGAGGTATGTAGGGAATGGGTAGAGAGGTTGGAGTGAGGATTGCAAGATATGTATTATAATAGATGACAATCTATAATAGATGACAATCTATAATATATGAGAGGCCATTATAATAGATGACAATCTATAATAGATGACAATCTATAATAGATGACAATCTATAATAGATGACAATCTATAATATATGAGAGGCCATTATAATAGATGACAATCTATAATAGATGGCAAGATATTATAGTTGAAACATTAGCAATCATAGTAATATTCTAGTCACTATAACAAGACACCAATACAATAAGTGATGATTACTGTACCCCTGCTCCTATAATTTAACAACAATTATAGTAGGAGACTCGTTATAATATAGAAGACTGCTATAATATAAATATTTACTAAAACATAGTAGTTTAACTTCTCAATAAAAATTCTTCCAGGTAACTTTAAGTGGATTTATTGAGACTTCTTTTATGCATTTTTTATTTTACATAAAACTTTTAATTTTGCATTTTGTATTTTGTTTTACAAACACATGGAAAGAAGGTCTGTAAAAAAAAAAGAGTAAGGTGAAAGGGAAGAGAGAATGTTGAATGAGAGAGAGAGAGAGAGAGAGAGAGAGAGAGAGAGAGAGAGAGAGAGAAAGAATAGGAGAGAGGTGAACCAGCCAGCTAACACAGGCCTGGACACATTAGCTGAGGAGCAGTACTGGCAAGCTTAATTGACACGTGGACATGACACATATCCAGTGTCCTGGTCGCCACGCCCTGGTCCTGCCCATGTATCATGGTGCTCTGGCCTACACCATCATGGTGTGACCGACCATGACCAAGGGAGCTGGTCATGGTGGTGTCATGGACTGACTGGACAAAGCGAGGGACCTCGGCTGATGGACTACCAAAATAAAATAACTTTCACCTGTGAATATACATAATTAGCAAAATATATATGCATGTAAATACGGGCAGTGTTGCATGTATAATTTCATGTTTGTCAATACGATTACTTACAAATAATATATGCATTATATATATATATATATATATATATATATATATATATATATATATATATATATATATATATATATATATATATATAAACTCCTTGTCCTCATGCCATGGAGTATGAGGACAAGGAGCTGAAGTATGAGGACGGGGAGAAGGAACGGTGCCCAAGCCCTTGAACCATCGGGGGTCGAACCCCAATATAAGTACCGAAGACACTAACTACCCTCTGGTTCGTCGCGGTCTAAGCACCGGAACACAATAAAACAGCAAGGAAAACCACCACTTAACGACTCTCACCAATTTGTTAACTTGATGACTGTGCAGCTACCAGTGATGGAGTGTACTTGATGACTGTGCAGCTACCAGTGATGGAGTGTACTTGATGACTGTGCAGCTACCAGTGATGGAGTGTACTTGATGACTGTGCAGCTACCAGTGATGGAGTGTACTTGATGACTGTGCAGCTACCAGTGATGGAGTGTACTTGATGACTGTGCAGCTACCAGTGATGGAGTGTACTTGATGACTGTGCAGCTACCAGTGATGGAGTGTACTTGATGACTGTGCAGCTACCAGTGATGGAGTGTACTTGATGACTGTGCAGCTACCAGTGATGGAGTGTACTTGATGACTGTGCAGCTACCAGTGATGGAGTGTACTTGATGACTGTGCAGCTACCAGTGATGGAGTGTACTTGATGACTGTGCAGCTACCAGTGATGGAGTGTACTTGATGACTGTGCAGCTACCAGTGATGGAGTGTACTTGATGACTGTGCAGCTACCAGTGATGGAGTGTACTTGATGACTGTGCAGCTACCAGTGATGGAGTGTACTTGATGACTGTGCAGCTACCAGTGATGGAGTGTACTTGATGACTGTGCAGCTACCAGTGATGGAGTGTACTTGATGACTGTGCAGCTACCAGTGATGGAGTGTAGATGGAGTCTCTTGCCCCTCACTTTGCAAGTAAGATGTCAATTATTGAGCCGGACAGCTCCCACACACCGCTTCCTCTATTTCAGTCATTGCGAGTGACGAATGTGAAAATCAAAGCCTCGGGCGCCACTGGCTCATTGGAGAGTAAGTGTAATTACGCGGATACAGTGCTAAGCCACAAAGACTATATATAGTGCCTGCTGGGGACGTTGGGACGGAGTGAAGTAACGCCCCTCAACCACTTGTTTCAAGTTGGAATCGAACGCTGATCCTGCAATAAACGAAGCGTTCGTTGTAGCGGCCAGTCCAAGTGGATCAGCCTATTGGATGGGGAGTGACTCCGGTAACCGGTAAGCTGAAGTGACTGAAGCAAGGCGAACACTCACTATCTGACAACATCATGAACATTCAGACTTCTCAGGTTCAGGCCAATAGTTATTGGTCTGAAACCAATAACCAGACAACACCAACGCTCCACAACACCAACGCTCCACAACACCAAAGCCAGACATTGATCGCCAGGACTGGCACAACCCCCCCCCCCCCCAACACACTAACTTTATCAACAATCGACCTGACCGTTCCAAAGGTGCCATTGACACTCAGTTATTTCTCCTGGCCGTGTGTGTGTGTGTCTTGGAGTCCCCCACCAATGGTCCTTGTGTGTCAAGGCATGATTATATGATGAGTAATCACGCGCACTGCTCTATAGTACTCATGGGTGTGTACTCACCTATTTGTGCCTGCAGGATCCAGCATTAGCTCTTGGACCCCGCCTTTCTAGCCTCCAGTTGTCTAAAGCAATGACTCGTTCTATTTCCCTATTATATCTACTTTTATTTTCTCTATGAATGTAGTTATTTTTCTCTATGAATGTAGTTAGTTTTCTCTATGAATGTAGTTATCTTCTACGACCTGTTCATGTAGTTTATTCAATGTTCCCACTGCTCTTATGCTAAAAGAAAACTTTCTACCATCTATGTAACTCATCTGAGTCTCAAGCTTCCATCCATGTCCTCTTGTTGTATTGGTATTCAGTGTAAACATGTCCTCTTTGTCCACTCTTAATTCCTCTAAGTATTTTATATGTCTCAATTATGGCTCCCACCCTCTTTCTCTCTCTCCTTTTTTCCAAGTGTGGTGAGGTTTAGTCCCTGAGCCTCTCTCAATATCTCATCCCTCACAATTGTAGGAGGAGCCTTGTTGCAAACTTCTGAACCTCTTCCTGTTGCGTGTCTGTAGATGGGGCTCCACGTTAGTGTGGCCTAATATAAAACTGGTCTCACGTAGGTGGTTCCGTGCCTCATCTTTGTCTCCTTATTTGTAAACTGGCGCCACATTTCCCTTCTTCCAGCAGCTGGGCAACTCTCCCTGTGTAAGTGACTCATACAACATATTTGCAAAAGGTCCGCTCAGGTCGGCCGGGAGCGGACAGCACGCTGGACTTGTGATCCTGTGGTCCTGGGTTCGATCCCAGGCGCCGGCGAGAAACAATGGACAGAGTTTCTTTCACCCTTTGCCCCTGTTACCTAGCAGTAAAATAGGTACCTGGG